GCTCGACAGGTATGACTCGTCGTCTCTTCTTTGGCAGTTTAGCTCTGGCCTGAGTGTGCGAATAGAACATCGCAAAGTTGGACACTATGACCGGCACCGGGAGGGCTATCGTCAACACACCCGCCAACGCACACAACGCGCCCACAAACATCCCGGCGTATGTCTACGGGTTATCACATCACCACCGATTAATTATTTGCTAATTATTTTATTATGTATTCACGTTTTCATTACCTTAGGCGCCATATCCCCTGTTGTGGCCATCATTTAGTTGTGACAAATCATACGAGTTTTAGAATTAATAAAATCTTTTAGTATTATATCTAAAAAAGTTTAGGTTTAATGACTGGACGACTGACTGACTCTCTTGAGAGTAGATATTGTCAAAGACTGGTATCGATTGGAAAAGTAATTTACTTTAAGTTTTTGAAAAATAGAAAAGAAGTGATGATAAGAATGAGCGAAGAAAATAATGTAGAGATCAAAGAGTTTGATATGAGATATGGCTTTGAGAGGATGGCAGCATACTGACGTAACTGACGTTACTAACCATATCCAAACTCTCAGCTAGTCAGTCAAAACAGTGTGTTTGGCTCACAATTCACATTCCGTAATTTAGTTCACATTTCTAAATTTCTCTAAAGTACACTTTAACAGTGTGTTTGGGGTGTTGGAGGACATGGAGCGAAGGGATGGCATGCAATGGATAGTGGTGTTGTCAATGTGGATGGAGTGGTAAGGCTATGGTAGGGCTATGGTGGTGGTGGTACATACCGTATCCAACAGTGGTCATAGTAACTAATGCCCACCAGAGGCCCAGCGGTATAGAGTTGAAGTCATTGTCAGGATTTGATTGAATGCGTTCAGCATAATAGACGAGACTCGCGAAGATCACAATTCCGAGCACCAGAAAGAAGACTAATAAAATCAATTCCCCGGCACTCGCCTTAAAAGTCTGTATTAAAATCTTAAGTCCCGCTGAATGTCGGGTCAATTTGAATAATCGCATAATTCTAATAATCGAGAAAAACTCTAATATATCCGCGTTTTCCAGATGTGAGTAAAAGTTTTGTAATATTAAATCGATGTAAAAGGAAAGCGTGGCCGTTATGTCTATTACATTAACAGCACCTGGAGGTATAGCCCAGTGTATAGAGTCGTCAGAGTGTTTGTATGTATAAGAGTGTGAGAGAGAGAAAGGGAGAGAAAGAAAATGAGAGAATAAGAGAACAATTTAGTCATTGGTCTGTAAATTGATATCAATTTATATCAACTCAAAGATAAATAAAGTCAAACAAAACGTGGAAAATATCTGATTAGAGACACAACAACATAGGAAACAAAAAGAGAGATAATTACAAACATTGGGACTAATTCTGGATGTAATGAAACTATTGTTGAATGAAATCTTAAATCAAAAAACATTTCATTTATTTACACTAATCGTATTAATATGTTAAAACCACAACAC